TTGTTTCCTTGATATGCTACTGTACGGAACCGAACTGCGTTTGTGTCTATAAAGATATTTTTTGTGAATAAATGTTATTTTTGAAATAAAAGAAAAGTTCATGAGCTGGAATCTGAGTTTTGAATACTGCAACACATCATGGAGGGGGGAGAGTTACCTAGATGCTGTGTTTCAGGAGGCAGTCACACCCCTTACATTAACTACCTTGAATTTGGTCAGTGGTCAGGGACAGGAGGGTGCATTTATGAGTTAGGCAGGCATAGGGATCGAGGATGTTGTGCTAAAGGAGCCTCAGCACTTGAGCTTGTTTAACGGGTTTGAGATTTTTGCTCCATATGTGGATGGGAGCAGGGCTGTAGGGTGAATGAGCAAACTGACCATAGCACTGTGGGACAGGGAGCCATTCAAGAGGAGTGAGGAAAAAGAAATGCAGTTATAACTGGGGACAGTATAATCAGGGGAATAGACACCACTCTTTGTAGCCAGGATTAAGAGTGTCGAAGGCTGTGTACCTGGTGCCTGGGTTCAGGGTATCTCACAGGGCCACAGAGGAACTTGGAGTGGTATAGGTAGAAAGAGAAAAGAGGTTCTACTGAAGAAATATGAGCAGCTATGGGCTATATTAAAAAGCAGAACCAAAAAGGTAATCATCTCTAGGTTACTAGCTGAGCCACAAGCAAGCTGACACAGGGTCAACAAGATTAAAAAGGTAAAAACATAGCTCAAAGATTGGTGTGGGAGAAACAGGTTTGCATTCGAAACCTCTTTAATCTTGTTGACCCTGTGCCAATTTGCACCACTTTGTGGGAATCTCATGCTCAAGATCATTCAAACTGGAGAAGAAGCATCTACATAGGTGCTAACTATCTTCAGCAACTCTGACAGGCCCAGCTGAAGGCCAGTATAAATAGTGGAAAGAGTGTGTGGAAGCCTGAATATCCCACCCATCCACTTTAGCAAATACCACCTTTCCCATTTGTGGTAGGGTGTGTGGATCTAGCATTAGACTGTATAGACACCTCAAGGACCTACCAAGCCAGAAAGTCATCCTGGATCCCAAGGGACTGCCGAAGATGAAGACAGAATAGAACTGTGTGTGTGCTAAACATTGAAAGCAGCATGCTGTACAGGGTTAAATGATCTCACAATTAACAGATCAAATGATTGTGTAGAATTGGGATTAAATTGGGATTGTCAAGGATACAAAGTGGCAGAACAGGCTCAATGGATGAAATAAACTTCTTCTGTTCCTTTGTTCTTATTTGTCACCATTAGCTCCTCAACTTCTACCAACATTAATCTACAGTAGGCTTCTGGGAGATATTAAAACCCATTGGAAAAATCCATTTATTTTAATTTCAATGGTTTTCCTCAAAATTCAAAAAGGTTCTGGGCTCCTTCAAGGCCCTGTTCTATCAGATTAAGTAAAGCACTTCATTTGAGGGGCAACTTTTTCATACAAAGGATGGCATGTATATGGAACGAATTGCTAGAGGAAGTGGTAGAGGCGGGTACATTTACAACATTTAAACGCATTTGGATAGGTACGTGATTAGGAAAGGTTTAGAGGGAAATGGGCAAAATGCAGGCAAATGGGATTAGTTCAGTTTCAGAAACCTGGTTGGCATGGTCAAGATGGGCCGAAGGGTCTGTTCCCGGGCTGCGAGACCCTATGACTAAATCTGACGCTCACCCTTCTACATCGGTTTTTTGGACACGTGCTCAATTCTCCTATGTCTTTGCTTCCTAGCACAAAGGCCTGGGAATAGTCCTGGTTGCTGTTTTCAATGTCCTACATCCAATCTCCTACATATCTTCCTGCAATCTGCTTTCAGGGCATCCTCCCCATTCCTGCCTAAGTAACCCACTCTGTACCATGACCTCTGGCTAATCACCCTTTCCCATGCAGAATGTCCTGAAGCCACTCCATAACATCCTTTACACTGGTATCAGGGAGGCAAAAAATCATTTTGACAGCCACAGAAACTGTGTCTGGTCCCTGACTATGGAATGCGCTATTACTTTTGCTCTTCTATTCATCTTCCTCGTCCTCTATAGATCTGAGACACCTGTGGTGCCATCAACTTGACTCTGAATGTACTCCCCTGGGGAACAATCCCCCTCAATAGTCTCCAAAATGGAATACCAGTTTGCAAGCGTGGTAGACTCAGGGGACTTATGCACTGCCTGCCTGGTTCTCTGTGTGATGGTCACCCATTCCCTCACTGTTTATACACTTCCAACCTGTGGTGTGACCACCTCCTGAAGTTCGCTATCCAAAGTCTTTGCCTCGTGCTTGCAGAGAAACATCTCGAGCTGCAGTAGTTCTGAAATCCAGAGCTCAAGCTTGTGCAGCAAATGCTTCCATCCGTGATGATTGTACATCTGTAACTTCACACATTCTGCAGCATGAATATTCCTGTTGGTCAAGCTGACCTGCCTTCCTGTAACTCATCTAAAAAATTATTACCATTTGATCAAGAGAAAAACTTACTGTTGCTCATCTGTCAGTTTCTTCCCCTGTACTGAAGTGACAGCCAACTACAGAAGACTGCTCCAAGGTGGACACTCCTCACTCACTCTGTTTTCAAGCTCTCAGGCCTATCCCTGTCTTGGCTGCTTGTCTTGTGGTTATAAGTCACTTGGAGATAACAAGAACTGCAGATGAAAAGTCCTGATGAGGGGTCCAGGCCCAAAACATCAACTTTCCTGCTCCTATGATGCTGCCTGACCTGCTGTGTTCCTCCAGCTCTACACTGTATTGCCTGTCTTGTGGTTCTTACTTCACCTGCTCCTCTGGTTCTGTCAGCCTCTGAGTCTTATTCCATATACTAGTATTCGACAGCCTCACTCCTGATGTTCATTGTTATTGTGAGGTATGTAGAACAGGGTCTCCTTTGATACTTATCACTGTATCATTGTGAAAAAGTTATGAGAAAATAAGTAACTCTGTATTTCCATTAAAACATAAATCACTATCTATGGCCCCAAAAGGAAATTGAAACCAATATGAAATGTCATACTATGGCTGTTTGCAGTGACACATTATTTGCACACTATGTGCTTAAGAGCCACTGGAATATATTGTGACTTCTATCCTTATTTAGAGATAACTTACCACCTATACAAAATTAATTTCCCAAGCTGCATTCATAGTAATTTTTAATCATTCTTTGTATTAGAAACCTGTGAAATCAGTAGCAAATCTTACCCCTGGGATGTGTTCTATATTGGTTTGAGCACCTCTGTTGCATCTAAACAGGTTTCTTACAAACAATTTATTTATAATTAACTTATTCTATGACTCCAAGATAAGTAATTATTTTCACATTGAATGTAACTATAATTATTTTCTGTATTGGCTACATCAAGTCCTACCTTCGTCATTCTGCAGTTCACTGTTCTTAAAGCATTTCCTGTGCTAGCCTGCCTCATGTTGCAAACCAATGAGTTTTGCAGATTAGTGTTATAAGACAAACACAACAATAAACAGTACATAAAGAATGGAATATGTCCTGTAATTTGATGCATTAAAAACTGAAGGTCTGATACAGGATTATTAGTAGTAATCAAACTTCACAATATAGATCATGGATGCATCACCCTTTGTTAGTCTGTCTTTTCTCCCATCCTCGTTTCTGCAGGTTGGACATGGCTCCTATTCTATTTTTCTGCATTTATGGGAAAACTGCTGCAGCTGTTTCTCATTGACTGCTTCAGGATTACTGACCAGGATTTTCTGCTGTTCTTTCTGCTTGTCATCAGGCCGATAGGAAGGACTTATAGGCTGAAAATCAGCTTGTTTGGTTACCTGATGATTGCACCTTCCTCACCCAAGTTTGAACCCAGAGCTTCTGGACCAGGGATGGGATGTCACCATGTTGCCACTTTCTTAGTAATCCTGTCCTTTCTTAGTAATCCTGTCCAACCCCTTTGACTTGCTTAGTGTCTCGCAGTCAAATGCCTCATCATAAGTACAACAATAGCAACATGACTTGTATTTATATGACCTTTCTAAAGTAGTTGGTTTTGGTAAGGAAATGGATATGATGTCTGAAACTTAGGTCGGGTTTTAATAGGATGCCAAGGTTGTATACAGTATGGTCTGGTTCAACCTGAGACAGTAAGCAGGGAGAGGAAAGGAATCACAAATGTGGGAAGACATTTGGTGGAAGGAAAGTAACACAAAAACAAAATTCTACAGATAATCAAAAACAGGAATAAAAACAGAAAATGTTGGTTTTGCTCAACAGGCCAGACAGCATCTGTGGCAAGACAAACTCAGTTAATGTTTCAAATTGATGGCTTCCCTCTCAAATCAATAATATGGTTTTGGCCAAGAAGAAGCATCTGGTCAAACTGACTTTGGATACAGATGTCAGAGGGCACTGCTTGCCTCTTCTTACCACTTCGTTTTTTAGAACTCACAAACAGAGAGGGAGCCATGGTTTATATGTAGGCAGGATGGGATTCCAGTTCTGTCACGACTGTTCAATTAGGTACAGCTTTAGGCTGTTGCAAATAGGTGGGCTTTTGAAACTGAGAAAATAGAAGATAGATCACAAAGTGAACAGTGACTTACAATCATTTAATGTATTGGCAAACAGACTTCCCTTTACAATCCAATTTCTTAAATGAGTGAGATAAGACAGCAACAGTGTGCTCCTGATATTTGAACTGGATTTGCTGTGAGCTTAGCTCCTCTCTGGGAATTTGGAATTATCTTTCCAATTTTGGCTATGCTAGCTTGGGGAGAACGGGTACTCCCTGATAGCAAAGATATGAGGAATGAGTGAGAGTTACTCTGACCAGCGTTCCTTACCCATGGCAAGTCACTAAATAGCACTACCAAAGCCCTGAAGCAAGGCAACAGGTTTCAACATTGTGACAAACGTATTTAAAAACCTTGTCAAAACTCTCAGCTTTGTAAAACGACTCTCACCATCCAGTGTTTTGAATGTCTCAAACAATAAAGAACAGTTTTGGATTTTTGCACGTACCAAATGTTCACCCTTAACCTTGCGAATCCCCACCATTCGGACAGCATCTGGTGGAACAGGCTGATTGTTGAACGTAGAGTCCATTAGAGACTCTGGACTTGGGGGTGGAGTTTCGTAGTTCTTGGAGGCAACTGTATCATGAGCTTCCAACAGGGACTGTGGAGTGAACAGGACATGTACTTAGTGACAAATTCTTAGGAACTGATTATGAAAAACTGATGTTTCAAAATATAAAACATTTCTATGGACCAGCCTTGAAAATCATTTGTTTCAAGTTTTAGATATTTTAATCAACTGTTCAGACATGCTATGTGGGACTTGAAGTGAAGTCTTCAGACTCAGAGGCAGGGACACTACCACTGCGTCACACAAGACCTTGGGTCAAGTTTTGCACATATATGAATAAATGCTACAAGAGGAATGTGTTGCTTCTTTTCTGCAGAGGAATCCACTTTAATAATACTGCTGTTTAGTTCCTTGTGTCAAACACAATAATTCTGCGCATTTGTAGAACAGGAGAAACTTTAAAAGTTTTATATAAGTGTAATACTCTAGATATCAACCTTCATTTGAACATTTGGAGGAATTTTTTTTTGATGTAATAGTACTGACTACAGAACCAAATGTATCTGCTGCCTAAACACTAATCAAATTCAACACTTATTAACTGGTACCAATTAACTCAATGTTTTAGTGGGTGAATTGAGTCATTCTATTTGTTGCTTGGGATGACTACCTCGCTGCCCTGTGACACATTTGACAAATTCTATTATCCATGGCATGAGTTGCATTGTCTTGGGGTTGTGCTGTTGTCATTTGGACCTAAAACCAACCACCTTGAAGGGGTCCTTTTGCTAATTTGGAGTCGCTTGATTGACCCACTCAGAGATCTGGAGCCTAAGCTGTACATTTTTGAAGTTTTGCTTTTGGTAATCCTAATCTTCAGACAAATTGTGCCTTTTTGTAGGCGTTCAATCACAACAACAACATTGCTCATAATTTATCAAAATGGGAATAAATGAGAAAATCACAAAAGATTTGGAAACACTGAACTACCCACATTTTTCATTATCTCCTTGAACCTTCCTAAGACAAACATTAGGGTTTTTCCCAGGGACAAGTGGACCTATTGAATCCAGAAAGGATTCCTTCACTGGGTATATAAATATCATGACTGTATTGTGGATGTTTTTGACAGATGAGGGATGGAACTAAACCAGTGCAAAATAACAAACACATATTAATTATTTACTTATAGAGAAATGGTCCAGAGAAATGGACTCTTAAAATAATCTTCCATCAGGAGATATCACTGATGAGGCATAATACCTATTAGTCTAACAGCTATTAACACCTACGCTACATGGAGCAATGTGATGGAGTACCTCAGAGACAGAAACCTGGTTCAGCCCGGCCACTCTCCAGGAGAGGACAAGGCTGCTGCAATGGTACAAGTATTTCCAGGCTCATGAACTGGAGACATATATTTGTCCAGTCTCTGAAAGAAATGCCACTTTGCATCTGACTTGCAACCATGCTTGTTGCAGAGGTTTCCAATTAGAAACTCAAGGGAAAAAAAAAATTGAAACTATCAGAAGCAAAATTGACACTCATGAAAATTAAATTGGCTTCACTGTTACACAAAAGGCAGGGACTGAGGTTTTACATTGTGAGCAGCTAGACATAGAAAGCATGAACCCATAGTTCACTGAGCATTGATAAGGACCTATAATTAATGGCTCAATGACCAAACAAGTGATGAGATTTCATGCGATTTTTCACACTTACTGCTTCTTCTGTGATTTGCTTGCTGTGTGTCACATTTTTTTGTTTAATAGTCTCAATGCAAAGGCTGTTGTTAGATTTTTTAAAAATCAACCTGTACAGATGTGTTATCACACACCTCTACAGCAGGTGGGACTTGAATCCAGGCCCTTTCAAGATATTTTATATCAATCTGCTTGGTGATGTTATTAAACACTTCTGCAGCAGGTGGGAATTGAACTTAGCATCCTGGCTCAGAGATAGGTACACTACCACAGGGCCATAAAAGCTCTCCAGGCTGCTTTGAAATGGACCTGAACAGCAGTAATTCTCTAGCTCTTTTAAGGGTGGACAATTTAATTGAAGGTCTGTCCAAACTATTAAATTCTTTATTTGTTTCGAAACCTGCACCAATGGAGTGTGATTAATCCATTCATGATTTAGCAGCAACACATCTATCAAATGAACTATTTAATTGAATGAGAGTATGTTATATTTGATTGCTGTAGGAAATTGTATGAAGGAACATTGCACTCATGTCATTAAAAAATCAAATAAAAGGTCTTGTTTCAGTAGCTGTTTCAAAATTAGCACCAATGGAAGCTTAAATTGATTGGAATTTTATCGTTACCTCAGTGCGCTATTTGGTAAATTGATTATTAAGAGACCGCTGTGCCATTTAGCAGGCAAATCTCATCATGGTATTTAGCAGAAAATTTATAGCAAAAGGACTCTACTATAGTTTAACCTCAAGATCAGTAAAGAACTGAATGGACACAAAAGTCAGACAAATACCCTTGATTTTGTTCCCCTCCAAATTTGTCCTTCTCCAGAAATTATATTTCTGTTATGCTTACCATGTTTCTATTTAAAAAAAACAACAGCACAAGTGAAGTTGTTCTAGGCTTTATTTTTTATTTTATAACATTATGCACAGGATTGAAGTTGAAGGCAAAACAGCAGACAATGAGTAAATTAGCATTGCTTTGGGGAAGGTTATGAGAAACAATACATTATAATAGATGCCAGTCTACAACCTGGATATTTGGATCAAAGGGAGTCAAATTCAGAATAAGGTGATCTGTATCCACAACATTCATGATTGTAAATTTTCATGTTTCACAGAAAGGGAGGAGGGGGTGACAGAAAGAAATTCTCTTCGCTGTAACGACATTCTGGTGTGACATTCTGGTGTTATATAAATGTAACACAAATGAGTTATTATGGATTCTGTTTACTTGAAGATATCTGGTTGGTTTATTTGTAGCCAAATTAATAAATACAGTAATCTCCAAACACAGCCTGTGACTTGAGTGCTGCAGACAGCCTATGGTCATGTTGACAACATTTGGGTAACTTGGCTCATTCCATGTTGATCTCTTAAAGGGATATCACTCCAAAAATGATAAAACAACAACCCCAAATTAAAACAAAAAAGCATAATCCATAAATGGCAATGAAGTGGTGAGTTTTAGGTTAACTGGGTGACGGCATATTATTTAACAACATTCGGACTAATTTTGAAAGATTAAAGGATTGTTTAGTGATGGTCCAATGATTGACCCATCAGACGTTTTACTACAGTTCCACTCACCTTTTGAATGCTTGACCATGGTAACAAGTGGGTTTGTCTTTTTGTTTTAAAAATGTTTCCTCATTTATGGTTAACCCAGTGATACTGTACAATTCAGTTTGAGGCAGCTAGAATGTAATCTTCTTGAAGATTACAATTGGAATGAGAATGAAATGCATTGTAGCAGCTGTCATAAACAAAGGATATCAGATAATTGTAAGATTGCCCTTTACCTGAAAATGTGGTTCCTGGAGAATACGAGTGAGTTCAGCTGCAGAATCGTTCTCCTTTGCAATTGGGTTGATATCATCAATGATCTCCTTCACTAACTCCAGGTTATTATCACGTACAGCCTCCAGCTTTGTGTCTTCTAATTTTTCATGGGCCTATGTGATTAAAAAAAATGATTTATTAAAAACAGACACAGAATGCACTTCCTATCAGTAATAAGGGAATGACTAAAAGTCAATATTTCAGCTTCATATATTGTGATTGATTTATGCAACCACATAAATCCCCTCTTCGGAGCGGTGTGACCAATGCACACACCATCACTGCCAGCTAAGGGGGCACAGGTTCAAACAAATGAAAGCAACATTTTAGATAAAAGGAAATTCTTCTTCATTCTAACAGTTGTCAATATAACAGACTTCCTGAGAGGGGTAGTGGAGCCAAAACCCTGGAATCTTATAGGAACAGCTAGTCACACAATCTTTATAACCTGTATCGAGGAGCTTGAGTGGTTTTCTTTCCATCTTGTGAATTTACAGTCTTCTGTACGTGCTCTGGAATAAATTAATTTGTAAGAAAAACTGTGTACGTACATTCTTTATTCAACAGCAGATTGCAATTGATGAACAGTTTAAAGTGGTGGGTGAGTGCTTTGTTAAGTGTAAATGTTACTTCATCCATTTCTCCACGGGTGATGCTTGACCTATTAACATCCTCCAGTTGAAAGTATGTAATGATCTGAGCTGCAGAAATATAGAAAATACTAGTCCTCCTGTGGAGTTACAGGGCGTGAAGACAGTGTAACATTCAGATAAATTATAGGTAAGAGACATGGTACAACTGGATCAGAGCATATGAAGTTAATTCTGCTCATATTCAAAAGCTTTACTTTCTATTCTATACTCTTATAAAGTCTATACTTTGATTTTACCACATTGCACAAGGAAATTTGGGAAACAATTCATTGTTGGATGTGAGTTTATCTATAGTATAGGGAGTTGCCAGTCTCCGATACTATATTGTCACCAGTGATGAGAGGATGTAACCACCAACTATTTTTTAAAGAAATATATATATAGTACATCAAAGAAAAATCAAGTGGTGCACCTTACAACTTCCCTTGTGCAAAGATGGATCATTTCAGCACAGCAGAAGACTTCCAGAGATGCCATATAACATTGTCAAAACTCTCCCATTTAAACAAGGGAAAGCATCAAGCACCTTGAGTTCCTAGGTTTGGTTGGAGGTAGCCAAATATTCATTGTGGTCCTACGCTTTGGTATTCAAGCATGCAAAAATTGGGTAAAAAAGGGTAGGATATTTACAAAAGCATTTAATCCATTATTCACTGAATGGACTAAAATTTGAGCACACATGGACGCTGTTGGTAAAAGTAACATGAAAGCATTTGCCGCAGAAACAATAACAAACACAACTGCTATGAAGTTCAAACCGGCCTCAGTACAAGAAAAAATGCATTTTGTTTTTCTCAAGTAAGCCAACATGTCTCCATGGGTTTAATTCCCTCAGATGTTTTCCATTAAAATTACAATCAGTACACACACACACCCACATCACAATATGATGTTTATCAGTTCTTCGAAATAGAAAGTAACCATCAGTGACATTAATTTGCCAGTAGAATCTCCTGGAGCTTTGTTAATCCCCAAATTAATTTAAAGCTTTTATTTTATTATGCTTTTTCTAAATTATCACTGCAGAAGTAACTGAGTCAATTTCAAATGCCCTGGTCAGTTGGAAAATGGTCAGCAGTTGGCCATGGTTTTAATAGCTTTCCTATGTTGAACAGTGATCAATCTGTTCTTCAATGTGGTGAAGGGTACTGCTCATCTGTTCAGCAACATCACAAGATTCAAGCTCAAACTCAGCAGCAGGGGCATCAAAGAATCTGAAGTTAATATAAATGGATTTTGCAAAGGTTCATTTTGATGTAGTAAATTAAAATTGATTTTACGATATTAACTGTTTTAAGGATGAGTGCATTCATAAAACATTCTTTTGTTCTTTACATACAGACTTAACCCACTTTTTGCAAGGTTTAATGCCTCCACACAAATCATGGACAGAGAAGGATCACACAAAGACATTGTGTTGAATCGTCCCATATTTTGACTAAGTGTCATTTCATCAGATTTCATGGAAAGTTTCCCTTCATGAGGCCTTGTAGGTTTACTCGTGTGATTGTTCCAAACTTGCCTCATTAAGTACCATGCCCCTATGTTGCCCTTCTTGTCTGATGGCAGCAAGATTCTCCCACTCAACGCAGCCTGAAGTACTTACTGTTGCCACAATATCCCAGGATCCCTGATGCCAATACTATTGTTAAAAGGTTGTTGTGCACCCTGTCAAGTGCTAGCAGTTCAGAGCTGCCCTGCACAGTTTATAACATTGATCCCAGACATGACACAAAAGGGGAAATTGGTGCCTGCTTTACAGACAGTGACCTAAACTTTGTGGATGGGATAGTGTAAGAGGAGAACCATCCTCTACTTCCAGGATTGACTGAAGAAAACACGGCACCTGACCCTGCCAGTCTGGTCCAAGGTTGCCACTCTGCCCCCTCACACTCACTCTATCTCTGCTGCTACCACACACCTCCCTCCAAGGCTCTACCACTCTACCATGGTCTACCACTCTCACCGTCACATGCAACATCTTCCCTCACTTGCTCTAATCCACCAAATCCCCAGACTCATATTAATTCATTTACGCTGCCTACTCACTCACTCACCTGGGACACCTTACCATCTTACCCTGACCTGCACTAGCACTAACAGCTGTGCCAGTCACTTTCATCTCACCCAATACCTTCCTTGTCTCATTCTAGGAGAAAACAGTCCATGACAGGCAGAAAGAGCAAGATGGGTGGTGGGGTGCCTGACATTTGGCTCCTTACCACCCCCCTCCCCCCACCATGGGGATAGGATCCTGACTTTCTGTCCTGAGCAGTGGACTGACCATATACATGCCCCTGGACTGATACTGGGGAAGCCCTTTGACTGACTGAATGTGACCCCTGACTGACAGTGGCCATTTGGACTTGACTAAGGACTGGAAATATGGCCATTTGGTAAATGCACTTGCAGTGCGCTTCCCCCACATGTTCTAGGTGTGACTTTGAAATAGTTCAGTAAACTGTTCACCTGCTTGATTGACGATGGTTGACAACTGTGACAAGCTACCTGGCTCCATGTCTGCCCTGAACAGCGAGGCAAGACAGAAGTACTGGGAGCCTTTAAGCTCTGGCTGCATGGGCAAAGTGCAGCATGGCAAGGAATTGCTGAGAATCCAGGTAGACACAAAATGTGTATGTGCTAAGAGAATGAGCGAGTAGCACTGAGACGCACTCTAGTCCAGTCTGACAGACAGGCTCCTGCCCCTGCGTGCAAAGTGTCCTTAAAACAGCATTGTACTGAAAGGTGCCAATACACTCCAAAGTACAGCATTAAAGTGCAGAAGTGGACTACAAGTGGATTGGAGTTGAGTCACAATGATGCAGGCAGGCTGGTACACAAACGATGCCAATGTTCATGGAAATGAGGTACTTGCGGCCGTTGCAGCATGCCCTAAGATGTTGGCACCGAGTCCAAGGTGGAAGTCTGGAGGAGTAAGCAGTGAGTTGAAGTCACCAGGTGCCTGCTCCGACATCCACGTTGGCACACAGAGGGTGGTTTGTATGTGGAATGAACTGCCACAAGAAGTAGTAGATGTACAGTTACAATATTTAAAGGACATTTGGATAGGTACATGAAAAGGAAAAGTTTTAGAGGGATATGGGCCAAATGCAGCCCAGTGGGACTAGCTTAGTTTGGGTAACTTGGTCATCATGGGTATGTTGGATTGAAGGGTCTATTTCTGTGCTGTATGGCTCTAATTCTCAGCATTCGGTTTCTATATGGTGGGTGGTGGAATGGCAGCCTGCATATTCAGTTGAGATTAGGTATTATTGTAGGTGATAATAACTGATAATTTCCCTTTAATCGGCCTCTTGCTAAATACGAGTGACAATCTTATTTTGACATCCAAGACTTGGTTGGAAAAGCGACTTTTAGGTCTCCCATGTAGCAATGGTCCTTGCTCAATATCTCACCTGAATTTTCCAAATTTCTTCCCACTGCCCACGTCACTCATGGAAAAATAGATCTATAAAATTTTAATCCACTGTTTTACTAATGGTGTTTAGAATCATAGAATCCCGACAGTGTAGAAAGAGGCCATTCAGCCCATTGAGTCCGCACTGACCCTTCAAAGAGCATCCCACCAGACCCACCTCCCCTACTCCATTCCCGTAACCCCACATAACCCACATAGCCTGCACATCCCTGGACACTATGGGGCAATTTAGCACGGCCAATCCACTGTAACCTAAACATCAATGGACTGTGGGAAGAAACCCACACAGGCACAGGATGAACGTGCACACTCCACACAGACAGTTACCTGAGACTGGAATTAAACCAGGCGCTGTGATGGAGCAGGGCTAACCACCGTTTCACCCATAAATCATTTGATTTGGTTTGATTTATTATTGGCACAATACCAAGATTCGGTGAAATATATTGTTTTGCGTGCTAACCAGACAAATCATACCTTACGTAAGTGCATCAGGGTAGTAGAACAGAATGCAGGATATAGTGTTACAGCTACAGAGAAGGTGCAGAGAAAGACCAACTTTAATATATGAAGGGTTCATTCATAAGTCCGATAACAGCAGGGAAGAAGCTGTCCTCAAATCTGTTGGTACGTGTTTACAAACTTTTGTATCTTCTGCCCAATGGAGGAGGTGGAAGACAGTATAACTGGGGTGGGAGGGATATTTGATTATATTGCTTGCTTTCCCAAGGCAGCGGGATGTGTAGACAGAGTCAACAGAAAGAAGGTTGGTTTTCATGATGGACTGGGCTGCATTTATAACTCTGTAATTTCTTGTGGTCTTAGGCAAAGCAATTGCCATACCACGCTATGATGCGTCTGGATAGGATGCTTTCCATGATGCATCTCTAAAAGTTGGTAAGAGTCATTGTGGACATGCCGAATTTCCTTGGTCTTCTGAGGAAGTAGAGGCATTGGTGTGCTTTCTTGACTGTAGCATTGACGTGAATGGACCAGGACAGATTGTTGGTAACATTTCTCC